TACATGTTCGCACATAAATATAGTTCACTTCCATAGCTAGCATTGTAAAAGCAAATCCATTAGCACTTCTAAATGAACAGGTAGACCTCAGCTCTTAAGGAAAGTCACAGTTAAATATTTACCATGTATATTATATTCCTCTTTGGAAATGAAGTTTTAGTTTTTCCTTAGCATCTTCTAACCATGTGGGTACAGGTAAATACCTTGATATAAAAACGTTGTTGACTCATTAAAGCCCAGTATAATTTCTTCAAGGTTATAATGGGAGCACATGTGAAGACAATATATGGATAGCTTTCAGGTAATGCAAAGGGGAAGGAAGTCGTGTGTGTGGTACTTACAGCATGTTCAGTCTGCGCAGTGTTACTTGTGAGTTAACGACTGCTACTCCTATACTTTCGCCTTAAAATGTGACATGGTATGTCTGGCTAGAGTTAATTTTTTTCATTGTCTTTAAGTACACATAATTGGGTAGAAATAGAGACTCCTGTGTGTAGTCCAGATCTCCTGCTTAACATGGTTCGTGCATTCAATCTTTCTTTTTGTGTTTGAGAGAAAATGTCTATTTTACTGTTGTTTGTTGTGATGTTTTAAAAGTTTAACAATACATTTAAAAAACTGAGGATTTAAATCAATGTCTTTCTATTAAATTGTGAATAAGCAGGGCTTAGAAGCAGTATTTCTGGTTTGTGCTTCTGATCGTGGTTTAGAAACTTTAGACAACTAGGAAGTGGTGTGTTTTATGTGATTTTATTTTATTTCTAGTTCTGGAGGTTGAACCCAGTGCCTTGTGCATGCTAAGCTGTGCTCTTCCATTGAGCCCCACCCTGAGCTCATGTGATTCTAAATCAGTGAAAGATGCTGGGCCTTCTAGTCCAGAGTTGCACACTCAGTAGGAGAGGGAGTCACTATGACAAGCCTAAGGTAGACTCCTCATTCTCTGTCTTGAGCAGTATTACTACCAGAAAACGTAAGGTCTTTACCTTGATGTTTTTGACCTTGTCATGACTCTGGTATTTGGAAAATGAGACTAAATTGAAGTTGACAGCCACCTTCCCTGAGTTCTTAGAAATGTCATCTGCTGTCTTGTGTAATTCTGTCTTGTGACGCCTCAGGAGGACTGCGGAGGGATTGTGCATGCATTCTTGGTTATATTTGGTGTTGAAACAGATGCTCATCTTGTACACAGAAATACTGAATAATAATACCTGTTACAGCTAGATTGGTTTGCAGTGCACCAAGCAAACATTAGACGCTGCTGTCAAAGACTGTTTTCTAAAGTACTTTGTGAGGTTTTCTGTGGTCTGCCGTCCCATTTCATGACTGGGCTGTCCCTTTGTCCTTTTCTGAGAAGTCCAATATGTTCGGAGCGCCGACTGTGTGTCTGATCCTGTTCTAAGTGCTGTATTTATACTAACTCATTTACTCCCCACAGTGACCCACAGGGACAGACAGAAGCAGAGGTGCACAGATACTGTGGAACTTATCCACAACAGTGCCACTCATCAGTAGAAGTAGGCTTCCTGTCCAGCCCATCTGCTTCCAGAGCCCAGGCTCTCATGGCTTGGCTGCATTGGGAGTGTATCTGATTAAGTGGGCCACTGTTCTTGTTTGGAATGAGACTTCCTGTAGTGCATGCTTAGTGATTTCTGTGAGAGATCACAGCTTTCCTTTCTTAGTCAGGGAGGCCATAGGAAGTAAAGAACAATCTAGGAAGAGATGGGGGATTGGGTCAGGAGTTCCTTACGACAGAACTTCCAGAGTAGCTCGTTTGCATTTGAGGGAAGCCCAGAAGGACTCTTGGTGGTTGAGAGGGTGGGGTGAAGGCCATGTAGTGTATTGAAGAATTCCTTTAAGATCTTGATTGGCTCCTGTGCCCTGAGCTCAGCAACGCTGCAGGACTTGCACCTGCATCCTCAAACCCAGTGGAGCATGGGCCTCCATATTCTACACAAAAGGTAAAGTGAAATTATGTGGAATGTTTATCCCATTCTCAGCAAGAGCACCCATGTACAGCTTGGCTTAAAATTTCCTAGGAGTCATCTCTGTCTTCTCATAATATTTGCCCTTAGCTCGAGCTATGCACGGTATGGGAAATGCATTTTTGCACAGTGCCCTTCTTTGAAAGGCCAGTCAACTTTCCTGCTTGTGTGAAATGGGTCTGAAGTACGGTAACTGATGTCACTTATGAGCTGCTCATTTGCATCAGGCACATCCCTCACTTCATCTCCCTAACAACCCTTTGAGGGAGGTATTTTCTGTTGTAGGGGTGAGAAAAATGAGTCTTGACTCCAGTGAGTGATTGTCCAAGGCCTTACAGCTAATTAGCAAGGTCTAGTTCTGACAGAGCCCTTCTTCTCATTGACTGATAATTCTCCAAGGAGACATTCTACATCTTTCTTCCTGAAAGTTTGATGGATGCAGACACTCTCATGGAATGCAAGTACCTCTCAAGTAGCATGTGTGGCTGGGCCCAGAGTTCTACCTCCTCTGTGGGAAGAGATGTAACTCTGTCAGCAGCATCCTCTTTCCAGAGCATTATTTAGTTTTTAAACCAGAATTTAAAAAATAATATCTCCAGTGTATGTTTAAAACAGCAGCAACAACAAACCCTGCCTTTCTGAAGCTTGAGGCCTATGGTCTTCAGAATTGCCTTTGGTGAGTGTGTTGATGGGTCCGTGGATCTCAGTGGTGCAAAAGACCTATTCACTCTCCAGGGCCAACTTTGGTATTTACGTAGGTGTGGGATTTGGTGAATGTTGGACTGCCACATTGTGGCACAGGGGCCAAGGTTGTTTGGCTAAGGAAAAAAAAACTTACTCTGACAATTGTTAAAATGAAAAAAAAAAAGACCTTATTGAGGGCTATCACAGTAGGTGTGACTGTTGAGGTAGGCAGGTGGGACTGGGCTCAAATTCTAGCGTAACAACAAGTGGGGTTTCTAGCCCATTGGGAGCAGATTTAGGAGGAGTCCTGGGTCGAAAATGGCTAAGAGAAGTATCAGGGGTGTGGGGATTCCTGCTGAAGGCAGGCAGGGGATTATATCCCAAAGATGGGGGCTGAGAAATGCGAACAGACACTGAGGTAGGCGGAGCCTCTCTAAACTAAGTCAGCAGAATCCTTGGTAACCTAGGCTGCATGGACCCAGCAGGTTGGGGACCTCATTGAGAGGAGGGCTTGGAGGAGTGTGACTAAGGTTTACTGAAGGAGAACATCTTTGTCACTTCCTCTTCCTTGTGCTGGAGATAAGGATTCAGGTTTGGAACTTGAACTGATGAATGACATGTATAATGAATTCCAGAAAAAGCACATTTTATTAGTGGTGTAGATCCCTGTGGCTGGGTCAGCAGAAGAGACCAGAGTAGTTCTGAAGGATGGGCCTAGACTCCTTCCTTGATGCTATGTTGTGCAGTTTATTATTTTTAATTTTCTTTAACAAATTCAAATCGTGCTTAAGGGCCAGGCACTGTTCTAAATCCTTTGCAAATATTAATCACTTAATTCTGAAAGCAGTCCTGTGAGATGGCTGTGCCACTCTTACCTCATTTTTATGCAGGAGCGGACAAAGGCCCAGAGGAGTTAAGTAACTAGTCCTGGTTACTTAACAAGGAACGATAGGGGTGGGATGTCAGCCCAGGCCACCTGCTCTGGACCGTGCACTCTTCCTCCCCATGAGGTGGGATTCTAGCCATTGCCTCCCAGGGCTTTACTTTGTATGTCAGGGGCTTTTGTTTTTTCCTCCCCAGAAATAAAGAATTCTTTTTCTGGGTTAGACCCTGGGCCTTGTTTGGGCTGGAGTTAGGGTTTTGGGTAGTGTTTAGATTCAGTCTACTATAACTCAGTTATTTGTAAACAGCCTTTCAGGTCATCTTTCACCTTCTAGATCTAAACCAGTGCTTTACGGACAGAGACACATTCCTTCCTTTCCCACGGTCTGTACAGAACCCATTCTAGCCAGCCGCTGGTGCCCCTGCCCCCTAGTAACCAACCTCAGTGGCATTCCTTCTTTTTCTAAGTGACTGCTTCACTTATGATATGTGATTGGTAATTCCTTAATACAAAGACTTTGGTAAATTGACTTCCACATGTGACACAAAACTTTTTTGTGGGTGAGAGAGAAGGTCTTACTATGCATTGCAGGCTGGCCTCGAACTCAAAATTCTCCTGTCTCCCAATACTGGGATTATAGACTGCTACCACCATGCTCAGTGCAACTTTCTTGAGCAGAGCAAATCCAGTTTCCGAAGTAATTGTTTAGTAGCCTCTTTAAATTTTGCTTACATTTGTTGGGCTGGTATTTTAAAGGCTGCTCGTTGTTTTGATGGGGATGGCATTGAATCTGTAGATTGCTTTCGGTAGGATAGTCATTTTCAGAATTTTGTCTCTGCCAATCCATGAACATGGGAGGTCTTTCCATCTTCTGTAGGGTGTTCTTCTGTTTCTTTTTTCAAAGTTTTATAATTTTCATTGTAGAGGTCTTTCATCTACTCAGCTAGGTTTGTTCCTAGATACTTAATTTTTTGAGGCTATTATAAATGGGATTGTTTTCTGATATCTTTTTCAGCTGTTATTGATGTGATAGAAAAACTGCTGGTTTTTGTAAGTTGATTCTGTATCTTGCTCTTTTGCCAAAAGTATTTTCAGTTCCAAGATTTTTTTTTTTGGTGGAATCTTTAGGGTCTTTTAAGTATAGGGTCATATTGTCTGTATATAGGATCAAAGTATTTTATATGTATGGATGAAAATTTATAATAATGAAACCTCTTAAAAATTGGTTGAAAAAGGAGAAGGGGGACAAGGAAGAGCAAGAGGTGAGGTGAATTTGCATCCATTATATGCATTGTGGTATGGAAATACCACAATGACACTCTTTGGACAACTCACATACACTAATTTAAAAATTGAAGAAGCAGCTGGTGAATATGACACTAGAATTGTAGTTAAGCAGTGTCACATGTGGAAATGCCTCAGTACTCATGTCTTCATCCTTTTAATTTCAGACCTGTCTATGGCAGTGCAGAAGTTCTCCCAGTCACTCCAGGACTTTCAGTTCGAATGCATTGGTGATGCAGAAACGGACGATGAAATTAGTATTGGTGAGTCCTTCCCTTCTTCATTGTCCTAAATTATAATGTCCAAAGTCCAATTTAAGACGTTTATATTCTTGAAATCAAATAGACTCACATACCTCAAATAAACATCTAAAATAGTCTCTGACTTCAATAAAACTGTCAGGGTGACATAGAGTTTCTGTGGCAAAGAATATTATAAATTGTTTTTAAATTGAAATTGTGATTTTTTTTTTCCATAAGGAAATTAATCATTCTACAACTCAGGCCAGTCCTCTGAAAAAATCTGGATAACAGTGTTTGTCTCTGCCTTAAAGTGAATCATTTACTCCGACAAGTGTGCTGAGTATCGACTATAAAATATACTTGCTGCGGTTTTTCAGAGTAATCTTCCTTGTCTCTTAAGTTAGTACTGGTTTCTTTTTTAATGCAAGCATTTGTCATAAAGAAAACAAGTCATGTTTAGTCAGTGATGATGTCTAAACTAGTGTTCCCACTACTACTGGGGATCAGAAGACTCCAGCCCTAATCTGACTTTACCACAACCACTTAGTGATCGACCCCAGCTGGGGAGACACTCCTCCTTCTGAATCACATGACTTCATTTCCTGTAAAATGAAGAGCGTGGGCTCTGTGGTCTCTGAAGTTTCATCTGTACCTGAGTTTCTACTGTTTGAAGATCAGCTTCATGTGGCCTTCTTTCCCCCCACTGTTAAAGACCCCTCCTTTTCAGTTTAGAGATGTGAGGGCCATTTGGGGCTAGATTGGAGATGTGTCCCATCTTCAGAAGCGTGCCCGATATATGTTGTGGGCAGCTCAGAGATTAATACTAAGTGTTTCCACCTTCCAGGTATAAAAACACAACACTGCCAGTGCTTAGAATGGTGATTCCCAGACTAAGGCACATCTGAAGCACCTGGAGATCTTTTTAAGCACAGATTCTGATTCATTTCCAACAGACCGGAAGGTGGTGTCAACTCTCGGGGTCTGTGGACCACACTTCAGCAGCGGGGACATGTCCTTCTCTCCATGCCCCTCTGCAATCCTCCCCTTCCCTGCCCAGTGTTTCTTTTCAGTAGTTTTATCAGTTCTGCCTGTATTTCTAAATAATACATTTTATTAGCTTTGACAACCTCAGAAGCGAGTCCAAACCTTGCTTTGAAAAGAGCGGGCAGTATTTTCCCCACAAAAGGAAAGCTGTCAGGAGAAGATAGACTGCGTGAGTTTCTCGTTATCGGGAGGCACTTGCTTGCTTATATTCATGAAAGCTGCTCTGGGAGAAATCACAGGGCAGAATGTGCTGCGGTCTTTGGATAAGCTGTTTTTGCCTATGGGATTTACACTAGGCATCAATGATTGTGGACCAGGTGGTGGGCTTTCTGAGCTATGTCACTGGTCACTTGGTACACTTGCCCTTTTAGGAGTGTGAGTTCTGAGGGGATCATAGTGATGTCTTGTCTCTGGGACCATGGAGGGCTCCTTCTGCTCAGTCTGGGATGACAGGTGCTAAGCCATGCCTGTTAGGGAATTTCTAGAATGAGGGGAGAGAGCCCTGCCACATGGCCCTTGAGCAGTGTGGCTCTTTCCTCTTTCACTCATAGGATGAATGGGGGAGACCAGCATTACTGGACATGCACTGTCAACATTTGGAACAATTGTGTCATTTTGATCACTTTTTTTTTGTGGTGCTAGGGATCCAACCCAAGGTCTGTTCCACTGAGCTGCATCGCCAGCTCATGCTTGTCATTTCTTGACATTATGTCATAAATACCTGGCCCTCAATGTAGATAGATAAAAGCCTAGATTATGTTACTAAGATAATAACACACTATTACTTGGAAACAATACTTACATATTCACATAATAATTATTTTCACTTACTTACAGAACTGAGTTCTCTGAAGGTAGAGGCCTATAACGTAATAGATCTTCAGTTAGTTTGTTGAATATATGACATAATTTTTTTATAAACTTTATTTTTTTTCCACATATCTGCATATTTTTCCCAATAGAATGACATAAGTCAGTAGTTTTCCTTTGGAAAGAAGTACAGCAAATACTCTTGGATTTTCACAGGCATTGTTATTGTTGATGGTTTCATGACTGATTCTATCGGGTTCATACTCCTGAATTTATGAAGTGATCTCCAGAGAACAGCCAGGTACTCTGCCTGGCTTTGAAGTTGTCACCATTAAGAGTACAATAAACACTTTTCTGCATTTTCTATTTTCCATTAAAAGCTCTCTCGAAGTCACATATGAAAGTAGAAACCGCAGAGGCAGGGTTTTCAATCACTGTGTTATATGGCTTCCAGACAGATGTTAGGTGATTCCTCCAGATTGTGGTGAGCTCCATCTCTCAGTCATGGTCTGATTCTTTCCACTTTGGCTAAAGGAATATGGTGTGTTGCTTACAGACCAGATTTGAAGGGTGTGAAGAATTCCTGTGTTCCTGAAAGCAGGTCTCTTGTTTCCAAAACTGAAGTCCCCGTCAATATATTAGGCAGTCATGATTAAATTAAGGTCTAAGGGCTTTGAGAAGTTAGGTGATAGGTTGGAGATTAGGTGATGGGTGAGTCATATGCAGGGGTAAGGCTGCTTGCTAATTTTAGATCAGGAGACTTAGTGATCTGGTTTTCTTTTGTTAGGAAAACCTGACTTGGAATGAAACGATTTATAATGATTTACTTATCTTTTGGTGGTGTTGGGGATTGAACCTAGGGCCTTGTACGCTAGGTAAGTGCTCTACTACTGAGTCGTGTCCCCAGCCCTGAACGAAATGATTTATTACGACTAATGTGAAAATACAGGTATATTCACATGTCCCGATCATCCAACATTTTGATCCTTTAACTGAGTCTCCAAATGCACTGCAAACGGTTTAAAATAAACTTTGTAGAAAATAGAAGACTTTGGCTGACCATTCCTAACATGGAGTTTTCTGTGTACCTCAATCTGAGCATCACGTGAGGCTGGTGTGGAGGGGCGCAGGGATGGATCGCCCTTACAAACCCGCAGCTGAAGAAGCCCCAGCTTTAAGATGCACCTTACTCCTGAGTTACTGAAGAAGGAATGAGGTACAGAGAGCTGTGCCTTTCAGCATTGACTAACAGCCAGAACACTGTCAGCCAGAGCAGTCTTGAGGCTTAACAGTGACGTGATTGACTGAAATTCAGTGACTTAACGAAATGCTCATCTTTCACGAGGAAGCCATGCCTGTGCCTTCTGACATGTGAAGAAGAGATGGTGGCAGGCTTTCTGTGTGTAAGGATGGCGGTGGGGATGGAGAGTGGGAAGATGAGTAAGGTTCCTCATCTTTAGTACCCTTGCAGTGGAACAGGGTGAAGTTCAGATTTTGAGCAAAATAAGAAAAGAATGTAGAATTATCGTGTCAGTGTAATTCCCTAAGTTATGAAAGCTGTTCCGGGATTCTGTGCCTTATGTAGGCTTGTGTCTGGTTTGTCAATCTCCCCTGCTCTTCAGCTGTCTCTTCTGCCCACATCCTTTGGCCTTGTGCTCACTGGGGCTTTTTGTTTTTTTTTCCTGGTGCCAGTGAGACATTGCTGGCTTGCAAGGAAGCAAAGTGAGATGGATCATTCATGACCCAGTGGGGAATTCCTATGGCCCCGAGAACAGGCCTACTGTTTCTAGGACTGAAGTCCCAAGCAGGGCAACTCCCTGCCTGTTTGACACCCTCCTTTCCATCCACAAGCACCCGAGAGGCCATCAGTTCCCACTTCTGTAAGGATAAGCAAGCACTGAATGAGTGGAAGCAGCCCACTGCATCCATCCCCCATAATTTCCATGGCTGCTGCCACGCCTGCCCTTTGTACTGCTTTTGAACTGAGAAGAAATGTGATTTAGGGGTACAGAGCTAAACACTTGGGGCTTGGAAATTGGTGATGGAAGGGATTGATTATAAACTAATAGAAGCTTCAGTCCTCTGAATGTGTTTATAGTGGTAGAAAAGATACAGAACATACTATTGTTTAACTATAATTATGCACTAATATGCATGTTCATGTAAAAACACAATGCCCATTGTGTCAGTCCTGGTACACATACGTGCATGGGAGCCAGTAACGTTCGAACATGAATTATGTGCACAGCTTTAAAGCCTTACCAGTAGGAAGTAAAAAGCTGTTTAGGAAATAAAATTTTATTCTCTTGAAAACTGTTTTACAGAGGTTTGGCTCAGTTATTCGGAAGTACATTACCGTGAGTATGCCTGTGAGGAAGGTTATTTTGCTAGCTTAATTAAGCACTGTAGCATAAAGGATGATGAAGGCTGTGTATTTTAGTGTATTACTCCAGAATTTATGTCCAGCCCAGATCTAGAGCATGCAAGTCACTCCATTTTGTTCCTGTACTTAGAATGTCTTTAATTTGAAAACTCTTTAAGCCCAACTCTAAAAATAAGTCTAGATACTTTAAAAAATTGATATTGTTAGTTAAGCTGAATTAGTGCCAACAAAATGTTAGTCATCAATATGAAGCAAAATTTATTTATTATGTGCAATCCTGGAAGCCATGGAAAAGTCTGTTTGTACTTGTGGGTCAACAGCTTGGTCAGTGATGTGGTGTGATGGGTAGGTGACTGGGAAAGTCCTGGACAATATGAGCTTTGCACTCAGAAGATTAAATTCTTGATACATTAAATGTTTAATGTATCAAGAAGCAGAGCAGTTTACTAGTAAGTATTTTAGGTGGGGCCTTCATTCCTTTAGACACACCTAAACAGGGAATTCTTGGGGTAGAAATAGGCAACACACTGTCACTTGTCAGCGAAAGCTGTATCTCCAAACTGTAAGTGGAGAAATGAGGGAATCAGTTAGGTTATTCAAACCAAAATATAGGTTTAGTAGTCACTCAACTACTTCTGATCTAACTGCTATATTCCTGTCCCACTGTTTATTCTGTTTTGAATGCAGATATGCGGACATAGCAACACGGATGGGTAGTGCTTAGTCACTAGAAGAACATGCTGCATTTTTTTTAAAAACTAGTTTTGCATGGTATAGTATATGT